CGGTGGAGTTGAAACATATGCGTAGTGCGGAGAGGCTGATTCTGTTCTACGTAGAAGTTGGTGATTGCAGAAAGGTATAACTTGGCGGTTGAGTACTGGACTTTACCGTGAAGCGAGGCGACGAAATACACTAGATTTTCTTCGGTTGGGGATGGAAGAGGATTGTCTTTTGTAGCGAGGTTATGAACAAAGCAGAAATCCAAATATTGGCGAACTCCAGTTGAATATGTTGTTCGTGTTGAGGAAGAGATTGCTTGGCCGAGAAGCGAGTTGACTCGTTGGGTTAAACTTGGATCAGGGATTCGGCAATGGCGGTATGTTCTGATAAGGCTGTGGGAGCTAGTTGGTGGAAACGTTGCATCTGAAACCGGGATAATGCATCAGAGACTGAATTTTTTACACCTTGGACATGTTTGGCGTTTAGTGTGAAATTATGAATAAGTGTTTGAACTGTTAATTTTTTGTACTAGATCCATAATTTTATTAACTTTAGATGATTTTGTGTTGAGAATTTGAGTAACTGAAACATTATCGCACCAAAGTAGAATACGTTTACCCGACCATAAATTGCCCCAAACTGAACATGCGAGATATACCGGAAAAAGCTCTTTCCATGCAATGCTTTGCTGCTCTATATGCGCGTGAAATTGACTAGACCATTCGCCTTGAAACCAGAAATTATTAAAGAACGCGCCGTAACCTAATGCACCAGAAGCGTCAGTCGAAAACTCAAGCTCAAGCGAATTTGTGGGCGCAATATCGAGAAATATGTTAGTGCTACTCCATTGCCCTAGGAAAACTAGCCACATCGCGACGTCCTTCCGAAAGGACGAATTCAGTTTAATGTGGTGGTGTGGCTCAACGACGCCTCGTGTAAGGTTTATCATACGTTGTAAAAAAGCGCGGCCTGGCACAACGACGCGGCATGCAAATTGCAGTGTTATCTATCAAGGACTGACGTTCGCGCAAAGTACATGATTTTTTAGCTAACCAGTTTAAAAGATCTTGTTTTGCTCGCTCGAGTTTATCGGAAGGCAGGCTGGCAATAATTTTTTGCGAGTTTAGAAGGACGCCGGGAAATTCGAGTTCGGTAGACGCTGGATAAGTTTTTTCGTGCGCGATAGGAACATTTAGATTTGTGAAAACAGTAAGCAATTTACACAACGACGTCATGCAGTTTGACCTTGGCGGTCGTTCAATAAAGAAAAAATCGTCTAAAATATGCAAAATATGTTGTATGGTGTAGTTATTTTTGGCAATCCATTCAATCGCATCCGAAAGTTGATTAAAAATACAAGGCGCGCTGCGAAGGCCAAAAGGTAGAACTTGGTCGAAAAAATAAAGACCTTTCCAATGCATTCCTAATAATTCCCAGTCATTAGGGTGGACAGGTACATTTCGAAACGGCGAACAAATGTCAGTTTTACCATAAATGAACCTTTACCGAGCTGAATAATCAAATTGATAGCGTCGTCGATTTTAACATATTGCAAAGTGTAGTTTTCCTTTGAAATATAAGCGTTAAACGCTAATGCCGGCGGATTTTGGATGTGAGAGATGGAAAATCGTGCGCCAATCTGAAGAATGTTTTTTCGGAATTACGCCAATTGGATAAATTTGAAAATTTAGAAAAGGTGGGGATAAAAAAGGCCCGGCAGTGCGACCTAAAATAACTTCCTTAAGTAAATTTTTTGTAACCAAATCAGGCTGCTCAAATGCTGATTTTAAATTGTGGGAAAAACATGGCATGCGTGGACCCTCAAAACAAATAAAAAATCCATCACGAAAACACTGGACTAAATTAGAAACGAACAAAACGTCAGGATGATTTTTTAATTCATGTTGTAAGTAAACTATATTAACAGGTGTTTTAGGTTTGAGGTGGTGAAGGTACTGGTTAACGTTCTCGTCGGGAATTGCTCGATTCGCCAGCTCTCTCATCATGCTCCGCTCCTGGGTGATGGCCGACGAAGCCTGGTCGGTTACAGCGGTGTTTGAAGGGACAGGGGCTGGAGGCACAGGGGAATTTCTTGTTGTAGATTCGACAGAGGTCATCGCTGGGTCTTGTTGGCGTGGATCTGTTGGGTGCAACTGGAAACGCGTTAGCGAAATGATCAGCGCTTCCACAGGCATGACAAGCAGTCTTTGCTAACTCCGTGAATTTTTCCAGATAAAGCTGAGGATCCCGTTGAGCCCAGGAAAGGGAGGCACTGTTTGCTGCCTTTTTACGGAAAGCTATATCATATGCATACCAAGCCATGCCAGAAAACTTTCGTTGTGCATCGCGAATGGTTTGCTGGTAGGCGAAAAGTTCAGAGGCCTTGTATGGGAAGAAATGAACTACGACGCGGGCAAAAATGTTGAAGGCAGTGAGCCAGCGGTCAATGGAATCAACGCGTTGGCGTTTTTGTGGAGCCACAGAAACGGGAATGGAAACCCCAGGCCCTCACAGCGAGTTAAACGATATCCTCAACTGCTCGTTGTGACCATCGACGTTTTCAAACAACAAAGTATTGAAGTCAATGTAATCACCATTGCGTATCCATGCAATTGATTTGTCGGGCAGATGAGGCGGGAACAAAGGCGGAGTTGCAGGAAGATCTGGTTCTGGCAAGGCAGTGATAATGGACGCTTGTGGAAGCGCGACGTCGCGAAGGGACGAAAAAATCAAGAATTGTAGGGTTTCGAACTGTTCGTTAGTAAAATCGCCCCGCGTCTGTTCTTGGTCAGGTGGAGGCTGTAGTTACGGTGTCGCTAATCGGAGATGATGGTTCAGGATCAACGGAGGGATTCATATTCTCTTCTGGTCTTGGTTCATCGCGAAAACGAGCCAGAAGTGTTGCACGCGATCCAGTTGCTGGTAGCTTTTGTTGGTCGCAGCGAAGTCGAAGAACTTCAGTTGTAAGCTGGTCCAAATGAGTAACGGACTGTGTCGATGAAGTTCGACGTGTTGCAGCTGATGTTGTTTGTTTCATGCGAGGCATAATGTAGATGAAGAGATATACAAAATGATCGTTTTCAAAACATGAGAATTCCAAACTTTGGAGAGATTTTCGTTGATGTCTACTCGAAGGCAGTTTTGCACAGAATGAGCTTGAGCCGGTTTTTGACTGGTTTTGCTGATAACCAAGGAACGTAGGCTTAGCAGTAAATGCCATTAGTGTCGTAGACTGGGAAAGGATTGGCAGAAGATAAGTTTAATAAGTTGAGCCGGATATCTGTTTTCTTAGCTTATTTTTTGGGATTTTAACAGGTTTTGTAAGTGGGGATGTTGCGCCATATTAATCCCAATTTATTTTAAAAATAAATTAGTCCTTAAATTTTGTCCCCATGCCGACGGGGCGAAACGCCGTGCGAGGGTACTAATTCCACACGCCTAATTGCAAAGCATTGAACTATAAGTAAACTGGAACGATAAGTTCGCCGCCATCTTTGAAGCCGGCCATAAGTGTTTTCTGCAGGTAGCCCCAGTCTTTTTCACAACATTTTGTGAAAAATACAACTTAAAAATCGTTACTATTTTCTCACTTTTACATCTTTCAAGTCATTTATATTTATCTTAGAGCACACTTAGACAACACCACTTTCATCTAAGGCACATAAAATAAGCAAGTATTGTTTAACTACCGAAATATGACACGACCAAAACGAAACTCGGTAAAAAAAAACGCGAAAATTTATGGTTATTCTGAATTTTTAGACTTTTTAGAAAGAGTTCAGAGACAGTTTTATACAATTTATGTAGAAAAATCTTAGATACGGTTGATAATGGATGTTCAAACATCCAGAACCGTACTTTAATAAGTTAAAATTAAAGTGCTACTGCAGCGAATTTTTCGACCCTCAGTTTTTTAGCTTAATTAAAAGTGCTGTCCTTCCTGACCTGTTTACCATTAACAGAATTGAAATTGGTCAATTCAAACCGATTTTATAGCCTTCCAAAGTGGCCATTTTTGGCACTTCCTGTGCGAACTTTTGAACGGCCATGTTGATGCCATGTGACGTCATAAGATGAACACGATTTCATCATGGCGTATTAAAATTATAGTAAAACCAACAAACGCGGAGACGAAGGCCGTGTTTCTGGCAGTTCTAACTTAGATTATTGCACGAATTCTGAACAGCCTGAAGGAATACCCACGCATCTATTTCCAAACAAAGAAACAGATCCACAGCGTGAAAGAAAGTTAGTGAATTTTATCCGTAAACATTGACCGCGGGTTTTCCCGCATCTGCGAACGGCGAACCTAGTGTTTTGATTGAGCCCCTTTTGAAGATTCGTGCTATATCTTATTTTCATTGACAAAACCTCGTAAAATGGAAAGAATACTGAAGGAAGAAACTGTTTATACAATTTACATGGCTAGAATTGTTCCCCTGGCTAAAGTACAACTCACAGACGCAAGGCAAATAATTCAGGTATATAGTGAAGTACAAATTAATATGTTCGCACACATGGTGAATATTTTGCGCAAATGATGCTATATATAGTTAGTCTAAAGTGTTTAACATTTCTTATGCTTTAGATCATTTGTGGTTGTGAAAAGACTATATCCTAGCTGTTAAGTTAGTTTCTTGCCCAGAGCATCTTGAGATTGAAATAACGACACAATTCAGCATGCCTTGACCTAGTTTCGTCAAGACTTCTGATGACATTTTGAGAGGAACGATGCCATTGGAGTTATATTCAGTCATATCAATAATACATATTGCATAGTATAAAGTAACAATAAATATAATAATACAATAGTACAATATTGTACTGGTACGCTATTATTTGAGAAATATATTTGTGCACAAAACATGAGAGGAATGAAGATTAATATAACTTCAAAATATTACAGTAAATGTGGTATTGCACAGTGGCACAATTTTGACTCAATGGTTTAATAACTGACTCAGTCACAATCTGCCTAATCCAACTCTAAATTCGACCGCTTTTCTGCTCAAACGTAAGGCAGCTATGTCTTTGTTGTTGGAAATTATTTTCTTCTGTCTTGCCATCCAAGTAAAACTAGCCATCAATATAATACATATTGCATAGTATAAAGTAACAATAAATATAATAATACAATAGTATAATATTGTACTGGTACGCTATTATTTGAGAAATATATTTGTGCACAAAACATGAGAGGAATGAAGATTAATATAACTTCAAAATATTACAGTAAATGTGGTATTGCACAGTGGCACAATTTTGACTCAATGGTTTAATAAATGACTCAGTCACAATCTGCCTAATCCAACTCTAAATTCGACCGCTTTTCTGCTCAAACGTAAGGCAGCTATGTCTTTGTTGTTGGAAATTATTTTCTTCTGTCTTGCCATCCAAGTAAAACTAGCCATCAATATAGAACCACAGCCCATAATTGCCAATTACACCTATCGCTACCTATTAAATACAAAATCAAAATCATTTTGAGTATTGCGAATTATTAGGCTATGAATATGCTTGTGTTTATAAACGTTATTATATTTTTTGTCGCGCACAATCCAGTTTATAATAAATATTAAGTTGCACACACCAGATGTGTTCAAACAATCAGACACAATACCGAGGGGAGCACAATACAATACAATATATAATAATATGCAATAAAAAGGATGTACTTACCACTAATTTTACAGGTATTGTACCATCGCTTGATTTCTCCAACACAGTCACAGATGGTAGTAGTTGCCTATCTGCAGCGGCGTTATATAATTTCTCTATCGCTTCATCTAGTGAAGCTGTATAAAAGCTGTTAGGCAACTGGTTCATCATCGTATTTCAAAGCCGACTTAGCCGAGTCCATACTCGTTGACTTCCAGATGCAGTACTAACCCTATTATCTGAGTCTCTAACCGTCATTCCGCCGTCAAATAAACAATAAGATATAGCACTTGTTCTTCGATTTTTAAAAATCAGTTATCTGCGTCATAAACAAGTGAAATAGACAGAACTTCCACTGCAATATGTTGACGCGCCATATAATTTACTACAAATACGACCTTCATATCTTCGTTTCCGTTCATCTTGTGACGTCACACGGCATCAATATGACGGCGGAAAAGTTCGCACGCGATAACCAACTTCAGAGGTTAAATTTGGCAACTTCTAAGCATCGCATGATGGTCAAACATATATGAAAATGCTTCGAAAAGACTGAATTTTTATTCAAGCTAAAAAAGTAGGTCCAAAAATTCGCTGCAGTAGCACTTTAAGGATTAAATTAGTAAAAACACTTCGTAAAAAATCAGTATCTATTTTCATAAGATACAACTGCGAACAGACTGTTCTTTAGCGCCCGAAATTTGGTTTCACCCAAACATAGGCCTTTATTATAGAAGCTATCGTTCCAGTTTACTTATAGTTCAATGGTGCAAAGTTGTCCTCCATTTTGTTTATGTCATGGACGGTTTTCGACGTTTTGCGCATGTGCGAGTACAAACTCTGGCTAAGTAATTGTTTTTCATTTTGAAAGGACGTATATTACTGTTTTCCTGCAATTTTTTGTTTTAAATTTCGTTAAAAAGTTTACAAAAGTACAATTTTTTTTCATCGATTTTAACTGGAAATAATTAAGCCCGCAGTTTCATGAATTAGTGGCTGCTCAACCGCGAAACAAAGTTTGTATTAAATAATTGGGGTCTGCCGGGGGGGGCGGGGTCCTGGAACCCTATATACCTGATATAAATATACAAAAATACACGAAATTACGCTGATAACTTTAAAAAATACCAGGAATGTCTGGATCATTGGATCCTGAATACCCAAAAATACTAATTCAAGTAATATGTTGCAATTGAAGGTTTAGCGATTCCCAGCAAGCATTTAATTTCGCGCTCATATTCGACTTTTCTGCTTTGCTGGGGGACAACTTTAACTTAAATAGCTGTGTACAAATGATCACAATTGTAGATAGGTCTAGGGTATTTAACCGGAAAACAGTATTCGGATACGCCATTTCGCGCATTCTGAGGGGACATTTCATGCTAATTTATACATAAAATTCGAACACAAAAATGCCTCATTTGCACAATTGTGAAATTCCCACAGAATTATCTGACTGCTAAAATAAATTTAAATCCTTCTGCATGCGAGCGAGAATTGATTTAATAAACTACCTTCTTTCGACGAAAACCATAGATTTTTTAAGATTGCACCCTAAAGTTGTTGAAAAAAACAAAAGAAACAGACTATTTATGCAAAATATGGTCCTTTCTGGAACAACTCATACACTTCAAGCATAGCCATAGTCGTTCGAAAGAAGCAAAATAGGTGTGGCTATATATGGTATCAATGTATCAAATAGATAGTCTAAACGAGAGAAGAAACATTTAAAATATTGCAAACTCTGGTTAAACTCTCTGAAAATTTGTAGGTTGCTATAGAATTTTTTTATGGAAGTGTGTCGACATTTGCAGTTTGATTACCTCTCAATAACTATATATAAATATCTTCCACACAAATCACAATGAAGTTTTACATGCACACTGAAATACTTTAATTCCTGAAATTGCATATTATGGTTAATATTAATTTTTACACATATGTTTTAAACTTTCTGCTACAGTACAGGTAGGCTATAACTCATACTACGTAAAATACAAACGTGTATATTTTTATTTTATAATGTGTGAAAAATGTGCATAGGCTTACAATTTTTCAATTCGGTTCTGATTTGTTCTACATGCAGCCTCAAGACATTTCTGATTAGTCCAGTGTTTGAAAGAAGCGGTACAGTCCGTATGTAAACAAATTAGGCTTTGTTTACATTTCGGTATCCAAAATATTGAATTTTATTCGATAACTATTTATATTTTCATGATTCTAGAGTATAATAAATTATCAGGAGACAAAATTCAAGCTTTGCAAGAACATAAAATGAAATAAAAACCTAAATAAAATGTTTGTAAATAAAAAGAGGGCTCCTTTGTGCACATGCGCAGATCAGACTGTACCGCATCTTTAAGAAGATAGTAGGCCATCAAGATTGAA